CCTAGGGCGACGGCGGCGGCCAGGGCGGGGCCTGAGCGCGCCCGCGCACCCTCCTGCCCTCCCAGGTGACGACCAACCCCCAGGATGGCGGAAGCGCACCAGGCTGTGGCCTTCCAGTTCACGGTGACCCCAGATGGGGTCGACTTCCGGCTCAGTCGGGAGGCCCTGAAACACATCTACCTGTCTGGAATCAACTCCTGGAAGAAACGCCTGATTCGCATCAAGGTGGGCGCAAGTGGTTCTCCCGACCACTTCCTCCTGGCAGCTGCAGAACAGCTGTCGAGTAGAGGCTAAGCGTCTGCTGGTACCCTAATGTTGGGGCCTGTCACCACTTAGCTGGCAGTTCTGCCAGACACAGGCACTGGCGGTGCAGAAACCAGAGTGCTCAAGGAGTGCTCAGACACCTTAGGGAGCTGCAGGTGCCAGGGAGTGTGGAGGAGGACTAGATAGGTGCAGGAGAGCAGGAGCCCATTTCCAGGACCTCCTGGGCCCTGCTTACCTAGCACCTTCCTGCTCCATGGGGTGCCTGTTTCTGCTCCACAGAATGGCATCCTCAGGGGTGTTTACCCTGGCAGCCCCACCAGCTGGCTGGTCGTTGTCATGGCAACAGTAGGTTCCTCCTACTGCAACGTGGACATCTCCGTGGGGTTAGTCAGTTGTATCCAGAGATGCCTCCCTGAGAGGTAAGAAGCCAGCAGGCAAAGCTGGGCCCCAAGGGCTTGGGCTCCCAAGGCTAGGGTTCCTGAGCTCAGCAGATACAGGACAGTAGCCACTGGTCGACAGGAGCACCATCATTTCAGTCCCACAGCAGCTCCTTTGATGCACTAAGACGTGTGTGCTCAGGAAATTTCCACCCTGAGATAGTTCACAGTTATCAACTGCAGGGCCGAAATGGCCCCAAGGCTGGCCTCCAGTGGCCTCCTAAAGTCCTCATCCTTCTCTGATAGGTGTGGCCCCTACCAGACCCCGCAGACTCGGGAACTTCTCAGCATGGCCATCTTCTCCACGGGGGTCTGGGTGACAGGCATCTTCTTCTTCCGCCAAACCCTGAAGCTGCTTCTTTCCTACCACGGGTGGATGTTTGAGATGCACGGCCAGACAAGTCACTTCACTAGGATCTGGGCTGTGAGCAAGAGCTGGTGGAGGGGTTCAGGGTCTGGCTTGAGACTCTGGGGGCCCAGAGGGGAGACACCCATTGGAAACTGGTATTAGGGCCAGGGTGGTTCTGAAGGTCTCAAGTGTTTGCTGGTTTCTTTCTGTGGGCCTGCACACCAGCACTCTGCTCTGTACCCCTAGATCTGTGTTCGCCTTCTGTCCAGCCGGCGACCCATGCTCTATAGCTTCCAGACATCTCTTCCCAAGCTTCCTGTGCCCAGTGTGCCAGCTACAATCCAGCGGGTGAGGGCCTGGGCCAGACATCTTGGTGGGCAGGGAAGGCTGATTCAGAGGCCTCGTCCAAACACAAGAGGCTTGCCTGTGCAGAGTGGGCTTGAGTGCAGTGGGGATGGGGTGGAGAAGAGAAGTGGGAAGAGGGTGAGGACAGAGGCAGCTGTGCTGTCTGGCCCCCATGGTGACTATAACTGGGCTGGGCAGTACCTGGAATCTGTGCAGCCCTTGTTGGATGATGAGGAGTATTACCGCATGGAGGCACTGGCCAAAGAATTCCAGGACAAGACTGCTCCCAGGCTGCAGAAATACCTGATACTCAAGTCGTGGTGGGCAACTAACTATGTAAGTAGGTCTTCTGGGCCTCACTTTGCCTGCCTTATGTCCTGGCTGCCTATCCCCCAGCTCTAATCTCCACCCACCCACAGGTGAGTGACTGGTGGGAAGAATACATCTACCTTCGTGGCAGGAGCCCTCTCATGGTGAACAGCAACTATTACGTCATGGTAAGGCCTTGAGCCACACAGGGCTCCTGGGCAGAGGACCTGGTGGGCACCACAGGTGGCCTCCGTGGGTAAGTGGGAGTTAAAGAGTGAGAGAAAAGGAAGGACTGGAGATCCTGAAAGAGTAGGTTCAGGACAATGGGAATCCTAAAAGTGAGAAGGGTCCAGAGACCTCTCTCAGAGTCTCTCAGCTCACTGCCCCACCCAGCTCAGGCTTTGTCACTTCTGTTCCCTCCTTGGCCTCCCAGCCATGGGTTCCCAGCTGCCCTGATACACTGCTCAGTAACTTCCTACAATATGCATTACTATCCCATTGCAGAACCAAACTACAGGACAAGGACCAGGCTTCAAGAGCTCATTCTCTGCACCCCCCATGTGACCAGCCCTCCTCCTGACTCCCACACACACCCAGCTGCACAGCACACCTGTCCCACTGCACAGAGCACTCTGCACTCTGAGCAGCCTGCCATACACCCTCCTCCCTCAGCTGCCCCAAGAAATGCACACACAACACGTCCATACCAGAGGCTCTCAAGTTATCTTTTAGTGGTAGAGCCCCTTTCTCTGTAAAATAAGCCAAATGTGAACAAGTAAAATAGGTTATAAAAAGGCAGCTTAGGTCAGAGCTGGAGCAGAGGAGCAACACAATCGGCAACGCATTTCCAGTTCCCTCTGATCATGTGTAAGATGGATAAAAAAGGAGCCGGTCACTTCAGACAGAGGTGCCCACCTTCAGAATGCTCTCTCTGTAGGACCTTGTGCTTGTGAAGAGCACAAACGTGCAGGCCGCCCGCCTAGGAAACGTAGTCCATGCCATGATCATGTATCGCCGTAAGCTGGACCGTGAAGAGATCAAGCCCGTGAGTTGAGTCAGGGTTGAGGGTGGGATGGGAGAGGAGGCCTGAGTCTGAGCCATCCTGGGCCACCCACTGTTCCAGGTGATGGCACTGGGCATGGTGCCCATGTGCTCCTACCAGATGGAGAGGATGTTCAACACCACTCGGATCCCGGGCAAAGAGACAGGTACCAAGCCATAGCCAGGCACTTCTCAGAATCTAGTCCTCTCCCAGCTGTGGGTCCACAGTGGCTAGGAGTCCTGCCACCTGCTCACTGCCAAGCCTCCCCACTGCCCCAGGGTCATGGAACTGTGGAAAGCAGGCCATTCACGACAAATACTAAACATTTGCTACACACCGGCCTACTACTGGGACCCTGAGGGCCCTCCCAGGGCTCCCTGTGCACAGGGAAGGGAGATGCTGAGCAGGAGCAGCAGGAGAAGCACTGCGTGCAAGTGGGATGTAGGAGAAGCACATGCCCTCCTTGGAGCCCACGGGGCAGGTGAGAGGGCTCACCCAGGACCCTGGCAGGCAGCAGCCTTCCCTGTTTCTCACACGGTCCTTGAGCTGTGTCCTTTCCCAGCACCTGAACTTCCTCTGGGATGAAGTACCTCGCCTGAGAGGTACTGGGGGCACCCAGCACAGCCTGGCTTAGCACACCTGGACCCTGCTCCAGGGGAAGGAAGGACCAGAGAAGGCAGAGCAGGCCCTGGAGTGGCCACTCAGTGCACAGGATGTGGGCCCTTTCCAGAGCAGAGGTGGGCAGTGGGGTGCTCCTGCAGTCCTGCCCCAGCCCTCCCACCAGCCTCTGTTGCAGACACACTGCAGCACCTTTCGGACAGCCGGCACATCGCTGTCTACCACAAGGGCCGCTTCTTCAAGGTGTGGCTCTACGAGGGCTCCCGTCTGCTCAAGCCTCGCGACCTGGAGTTGCAGTTCCAGAGGATCCTGGACGACCCCTCCCTGCCTCAGCCTGGGGAGGAGAGGCTGGCAGCCCTTACTGCAGGGGGAAGGTATCTGAGCTTATGGAGAGGGGCTGTCCTGGCCAAGGTTCAGGTCCCACGAGGAGAGGGCTTGGCTCTGCCTGCTGTCAGAAACGGGCTGCATTGCCATGGAGGGTGGCCAAGAAGGACCTGTGAGGGACACTGGTGGCAACAGCTGGGCCACCAGGCAGTAGCCAGGTGGGAGTGCACGGAGGACAGGGTAGCCTTCAAGATGAGCTGGGACCCAGGAGGCACCCTCACCCGAAGTCCACGATGCCCCCCAGGGTGGAGTGGGCGCAGGCACGCCAGGCCTTTTTCAGCTCTGGCAAGAACAAGGCTGCTCTGGAGGCCATTGAGCGTGCCGCTTTCTTCGTGGCTCTGGATGAGGAGTCCCACTGCTACGACCCCGAAGATGAAGCCAGCCTCAGCCTCTACGGCAAGGCCCTGCTGCATGGCAACTGCTACAACAGGTACAGTGCCTCCTGGCCCTACAGGTTAGAGTTAAGGGTTCACAAGTCTGGTTAGGATTGGAGGTTAAGGTTACAGTTAGAGATTATAGTTAGAGTTCAGGGGTCTGGGTTAGTATGTTAAAGTTAAAAATTAGGGTTGGAGTTTAGGGTTAAGGTTAGTGTTTTGCTCTATTGGTAGGGTTAAAGGTTACTGTTAGGGTTAGAGGTTATGGTCAGGGTTAAAGATTAGGTATATAGGTTAAAGTTCAGTTTAGGATTAGTGTTTAGACCTAGGGTTAGAACCATAGTGTTAAGAGTTTATGGTTAGGGTTAGAGTTTACAGGGTAGAGTTAGGATTAGAGTTAGCAGTGTGGGATTAGGGTTAGTTAGTGAGTATGGTTAAGGTTGCTGGTTAGTGTTCAAGATTAGCATTATGGCTGGAGTTCATGAGGTAGGTTTAGGGTTTAGGTTAAAGTTGAGATTAGAGGTTATAATTAGGGTTAAGGTTAGGGTTAGGTTAAGGTTAGGGTTAGTGTTAAGTTTTAAAAATAGTGCTAGGGTTAGGGTTAGGGTTTGGGTTTAGGGTTATGGTGAGGGTTAGGGTTAGGGTTAGGTTAAGGTTAGGGTTAGTGTTAAGTTTTAAAAATAGTGCTAGGGTTAGGGTTAGGGTTTGGGTTTAGGGTTATGGTGAGGGTTAGGGTTAGGGTTAGGTTAAGGTTAGGGTTAGTGTTAAGTTTTAAAAATAGTGCTAGGGTTAGGGTTAGGGTTTGGGTTTAGGGTTATGGTGAGGGTTAGGGTTAGGGTTAGGTTAAGGTTAGGGTTAGTGTTAAGTTTTAAAAATAGTGCTAGGGTTAGGGTTAGGGTTTGGGTTTAGGGTTATGGTGAGGGTTAGGGTTAGGGTTAGGTTAAGGTTAGGGTTAGTGTTAAGTTTTAAAAATAGTGCTAGGGTTAGGGTTAGGGTTTGGGTTTAGGGTTATGGTGAGGGTTAGGGTTAGGGTTAGGTTAAGGTTAGGGTTAGTGTTAAGTTTTAAAAATAGTGCTAGGGTTAGGGTTAGGGTTTGGGTTTAGGGTTATGGTGAGGGTTAGGGTTAGGGTTAGGTTAAGGTTAGGGTTAGTTCATTAGATCTGTGTAAATGATCTCGTTGACATCTTCTTCCTCGCTCAGCCCTTGGTCTCCTCCTCCTTCAGGTGGTTCGACAAGTCTTTCACTCTCATTTCTTTCAAGAATGGTCAGTTGGGCCTCAACACAGAACATGCATGGGCCGATGCGCCCATCATCGGACACCTCTGGGAGGTAACAGGCTGGACAGGATATATGCAGGACAGGCTGAGGGGATGCAGCCAGACTCAGCCTGACCCTCTCTCTGCAGTTTGTCCTGGGTACTGACAGTTTCCACCTGGGCTACACAGACAGCGGGCACTGCCTGGGACAACCAAACCCTGAGCTGGCTCCTCCTCTGCGGCTACAGTGGGATCTTCCTGCACAGGTGTGCAAGCCGAGAAAGGGTAGGGCAGGTGTGAGGGTGAGGATACGTTAAGTCCTCTGCCTTCCCCGGTCCCCCAGGTCTAGCTCTCACAGGGAAGGAACAGGGACTTTTCTGGGTTCTAAATCGGGTCCAAACTATTCACAGGGGAACGGAAACCCAAGGCCTTGTATAGATTGAGAGATGTGAAATGTAAGGCTCAGGTCCAGATCCACCTGCTAGCACCTCCCTCCTCCCCACAAAGCCCAGCCTGGCACCTGATGTCCCCTTCTCCTGAAGATGCTGGGCCAGCTTTCCCGTTCAGCCATCACTTAAACTCACGTCCCCTAGGTGTGACCCCGAGTCCTGCTTAGAAAACCCTACTCCCAACTGACCCTTTCCATGTCTCGGCAGTGCCAGGCAGCCATCGAGAGTTCCTACCGGGTGGCCAAGGCACTGGCAGATGACGTGGAGCTCTACTGCTTCCAGTTCCTGCCCTTTGGCAAAGGCCTCATCAAGAAATGCAGAACCAGCCCTGATGCCTTCGTGCAAATCGCGCTGCAGCTAGCTCACTTCCGGGTAGGCTCTGGTTGCTGGGAGGGCCAGTGACAGCAGAGTCTGATGCCAGATTCACCCCTCTGTGTACCCCAGGACAGGGGCAAGTTCTGTCTGACCTATGAGGCCTCGATGACCAGAATGTTCCGTGAGGGACGGACCGAGACTGTGCGTTCCTGTACCAATGAGTCCACAGCCTTTGTTCAGGCCATGATGGAGGGGTCCCGTATGGTGAGCCCCACCCTGTTCCTTACCTGTTTCTGCCCTTATGCTCTAGACTGAGCCAGGGAGGTGCAGGCGCCCGCAGCGCTCTCCTCCATACCCAGAGATCACAGTCCCACATCTGCCTCAAGGGTCAGGGCCATTCTCCACCCCTGTACTTCTTCCCCCCAGAAAGCAGACCTCCAGGACCTCTTCCGGAAAGCTTCTCAGAAGCACCAAAACATGTACCGCCTGGCCATGACAGGGGCGGGGATTGACAGGCACCTCTTCTGTCTTTATCTGGTCTCCAAATACCTAGGGGTCAGCTCCCCTTTCCTGGCTGAGGTCAGTGTTGATGATGGGCGTGTCCTCTGTTCCCTGCTCACTCGGGCCCTTTCCAGCTAGGCCAACTTACTTACCACACACCCACCAGGCCAAATCTTGGGGGGGGGGGGGAGCGGGGGGATCAGGTAGG